ATTTCATTGTTGATTTTTTTGAGTGCCAAACTACACCACAAGAATAAATAAAAAGTGGGCAAATAACACATGTCGCCACAGCAGAGCAAGTTAAGTTTGTTGTAATACATACATTTCATGTGCTTCGTGGCTTCGTGACTTGGGGACTCCCGTTTAATCACTGAACATCCAGAAAACTTTTTAAACATTTATTCTCCAACATTATCGAGTGTTTATTTATGGTAATCCGAGAAAACAACTGTGCCAGTTTTCGCAAGTTTCTGCATGATTTTCGGAACCTTTTGCACCACTTTCGCAAAATTTTCGCACAGTTTTCGCACACTGTTTTTTTTCTCAATGTTTTCGCAAATGTTTCACGCCGTGTTTACAAAAGATTCACACCGTTTTTGCACGATTTTTGCAATTTTTTTTGCACTTCGTTCGCCCCTTTCGCATCCGATTCACTGCAAATGCGCTGGGGGAAAAGTTGTGGTCAAAATGTGAAATGCGAATTCCTTTCACTTTTTTTCCCATTCCTTTTCGCAACGTTAACTTTCAAATGCAACGTTCAATGTACTATTACCTATGTATCTGGCACATTTCCAGGGGGAGTAACAACGCAAAAGCACATGCTATACACCTAAACTTGTACAAGTCTTTCGCTTAGTTTTGCACCAAATATTGTAGTCATTGTGTTACATATTGAAAGCATAGACAATACGGAAATCCGGAAAGTCTCACAGAAATTCCGGATAGTCTCACAGAAATTACGGAAATCCGGAAAAATCCGGACAAATCACACCCCTGAAAAATGTTCTATCCCTGTTATACTGAGCAAATCATAAGTGGCGCAGGTTATCGATTACTTTGTACCAAATGAAATGAAACTGAGCTCATAACCCTTCAATTCCTTTTTTGAATTAAGATGAAATGGGGGGGGGTGTATTGTTGAACGCCGCCCACCTTATTACTGTCTCCTGAGATCCCTTGTTAAAAGTTGAAACTAAGTGCGTGTTCTAAAACTCTGTCTTGGGGGAAACTTTAGAACTTTGTTTTTGACAGTATGTGCTCCACAGTTATTGCTATTAAATATGATTAACACATAAATATTACATAAATATTAGCCACTTCCTGCCGGGAGACCCGTTTTTGAGTTCATAGGCTTATACAATGTTACATGCAGAGTCGGGGAGATTGTGTGGTGTTATACAACTGTCTTTTGTTCACGAACCTGGTTCAGTGCACTACTGTCCTCTTTTCAATAGGGGCCACATTAGCGTGCAGCGGTGCTGTGTGGCTCATCGCTGCGGTGGTGGAATGCTTTTGTCCCCGGTGGTAATCCGCTTGCTCTCAATGCCCCAAACCCTGGTACACAGTTTCAAAATAACGCTGGATTATCACCACTTTTGAGAGTGAAAAATGCCGATAATGCCCAGCAGCCTGGTCTTTTGTTCAGAGTACGGTCTTTTGTTCCAGGGCCCTGTTTCCTTTGTCCGAGTTCGCAGACCCCGGCCACGCATATAAACCATACGGCTCCAATTTCGGAGTCCCTGGCTGGTAGTGGTTAACTCTCAATAGTGGAGATAATCCAGCCTTGCTTTGAAACAGCATACCAATTTCAATGCGATTTTACATACCTCCTAGCGGGGTTAGGGTTAAAGGAAATGGTGAATTTTTAAAAGAATTTTGAAAACGGAAAATCTTGAAAAGGACCCGGCATGTTGTCCTGCTCAAGAAAAATCCCCCCCAGCAGCAAGTGGTGAAATATCATAAAAATGTGCCAGTTTACAGCTTGGCAAAGGGCATATTCAGATTCAGCACACTTGAAACCCTCCATGTATGAAGTTTTGTGTGGTCCGGTGATGGGAACCAATGGATCTAAAAAAATAGACCTCTTTTCCTTTGTCATCCTATGGTCTAGCACTGGAACTACTTTCAAGATCTTCTGAAAACATCAGGTGTATTTGACTCCCCGGTACAGTTCATCCCACAATACCCAGACCACTCCAAACCAACGATTCTAGTGAGTGAAGTATGATAGGCTGTCAAGACAGGTCAAAAAGGCAAGGCAGCAGAAGCTGCAGAAGCTGCAGTGAGACAGGGATCTAGTGGCTCACCACCACCTTCTAAAAGGCATGGGAAGAGGAAAAAGTACTGGAGGAGTGGTAAAGTGTTATTTGTTATTTTGGTGCCAATATGGAAGAAAAGGGCAGCAAAAAGGACTACAACACCAACAGAGGCATATTACTTCTCAGCCATGTAGGGAAAATGTACCCTAAAATCCTGGAACATTGCACATGTACTTCAATGCTGGACAAAATTGTCGGGACACATGTCAATAGGCATACCCTTTCCAGGTCCCCCACTCCTCCAGTCAATGTTGTCATCTCAAGCTGGAGTGCAGACTGCATATTAAGACCTAACATTGAGAGAGGGCTTGGGCGTGGGGGCCAATGAGATTTGCCACAATGAATTTCTACTCGGTTAAAATGCAGTTTCTTGGTTAAAACTTGTGTATGCCGTCTGATCACTCAACTTAACCATGTTCATTTTCGGTTAAACTAGGGGTACCAACAACACAGGGTTAAAAAAGAGTTGTTTTTGGAAACTGGTAAGGAGTTTTGTGATTATTATGCTCCAATGGCAAGGCCAGCTATTTGGTTAAAACAGGGATCTTTTGGGAATCACCCTTTGCAGTCAGTTTTGTGGAGTATAATGCCAAAGGCCAAATGAATTCCTTTGTGTGTGGTGAAAATATCCCCTTAATAGGCTGCCCTGCCCTAATCCCCAACAGTATACTAAATAACTTTTAATCACCACTGATTGACACTCAGCACTTTGTAGGCCTATCCTATACCTGAAAGTATTAGTCTTCAGGTGTCATCCCATGTGCTTCAGGACGCAAACATTTCACGGAATCACGGAGAGCAAGCAAATCCCTGCCAAACCATTGAGCCCTTTACAAACCAGCAGATCCACGGATGGAACACAACAAGCAAGCTTATAATTAGCAACCTCATGATGCACCTGATCTTCCGTGTATTGGCCAGCACAATGTGAATTTGAATTAGCATGTCACCAACTTGCCACTGACTGGCTGGCTGATTTGCAGTTAAGTTTGAACAAGACAAGATACTGATCAGTGTCGGAGGGCAGAAAGCTGTCTGAATCGTCTGTCAGACTGCAGACAGTAAAATAAGTCACACCATGAAAATATGATGCCTATTCAAACATTTACCAGGTTTGTTCTGAGTTTTTACGAGCACAAAACATGCCTCCAAATACTCAATGGTACAAAGAAATAAACACAAGAAACAGATCAGATAAAATCAACTTTCGAGAGCAGCTGAATATTTTTGCTACAAGCTCGTGCTTCAGTAGTCTTGGTTTCAAGATCTTCCAGAAGTTATCCTGCACACGAACCACACATGTACACTTTTAGAGGTCGCTATCACCACACAAATTATCGCAGGAAGGTCTTGGATATTTTGGTTTTGTTTGTGTTTTTCACTGTTTTTCCCTTGACTTTCCGAGGGAGCCTATCAACAGCTTTGTTTGAGCCTTATATTGAATTATTCATATAGTTAATAACATCTCTCAAGTGAGAACTGAAAACAAAAACAGCGTCCCGATCTTGAGGCCCACAAATTTCTGCAGAAAATGTTGTATTTAGGTTGTTGTAACATGCCCTTAAGATACAAATTAACATATTCCAACTTGTGGAACTAAGGAAGATGATTGACATTCCCCTCCAAACTGCTCTTTCATTAGGTAAAAAGTGGATGCACCTAATGGGACACTGCGGTTTTTAGCACACCATTTCCACAACTTTAAAACATGGTTAAAATGTGTGACTGCTGATGGACGGGAGAGGATTAAAGGGTTTAAGAAATAGCCAACCATTTGGTTTGCGTGAAGTATTTCAAAATAACAATAAATACGTAACCATTTCTAAAACATTATAAATTCAATGTTTACCACATTAATTGTGACCACAAAATGAATGAAAAGCTTCCGTATTTCCCGCCCACAAAAAAACCCCTTTGGGCCATTCGCACACCCAGGCTGATAGGATGACGTCATCGCCAGAAGGATGCATGTACAGTGTACATGTACATGTACATAGCGCTTAAGAAATGCAGTATCGCACGCAATAGACCACGTTGTGTTTGATGTAGCTTGGCCAACAGGGCAAACACTGTTTCAGTTCAAGAAATACATGTACACGGTAGGACTGTGTCTTTTAATTTCTACCTTGAACTGAGACAGTTGATGGAAAACTGGACGAAGGGATCAAGACATCCTGCCAAAAAGCAAATGAAGTCAGCTACCAACTCACTGCTCTTTCACATCATCCCACTACTCCTATGATGAGCACCAAAGCAACACCGATCAACACCAGCTTCCTGTAAACTCTCATTGCCGGACATGGTCCTTGGCAAAACCCACCGACAGGAAGCTGGTTATCTGTGAGACAAGGTGCCTGAGGAGGGTGGGTGCATGTGCAGTGAAGTTGAAGTGCGAATGATTCTAGTCAACCATTGTCAGGTCTTTAGGCTGAAGGGGACAAATAGTGGCTGCAGGAAGGGCAAAACAAAAAAATATTACAGTGAAAATGGTCGTTTACACTCATTTTTCTGTGAACTGGTCCTCCCTGCACTGTGGTATTAAAAGTGGTTTACGGCAACCAATGACGCGACCAACCTTGGTAGGCTGGTCACGAATATTTGACTAGACTAGTCTAACCATTGTCAACTAGTAAGCATCTGATCAGAGATAGTCAAACTATGGTTAACTATGGTCCTTGATCGAACTTGCCCTATGTGTTCTGGAAAACAGGGTTAGTCAGAGTGACCTAGCCAAACCTTCTTTCTTTAAAATCTTCTTTAAAATTCTTTTAATTTGGCCTGCCATATTTTCATGTCAGTTCATTTTGAGAACCTTGATTCTGAAAAACAAAAATGGGTAAGGTAACAGTAAGGGTTAAAACAAGCATGCCGTATTATTATTTTTACACTTACCTGAGGACGTTCCTGTGTATTTCTTGTTCTTTACTGTCTTTCTTTTAGCTACAAAACAAGAAAAATAGTCACAGCTACTGTAAATGTATTTCATACTCTTTTCATGAGAACACTTGCCGTCACTAACCCCCCAAAGTGCCCTCTATAATATGGACTGTGCCATTTTTTATTTGGATGCAATTCCCTCGAAATCTTAACTTATGGTTTACATGACTTTGCATACATGTTGATAACATACTGTACATGTAAAATGTGCTTTGAAATGATTTAATTTGCTGGATACTAATTCAGGCTCAAAAAGAAATACAAAAAAAAACAAAAAGCCAAAAACCCTGTGCATCGGCATATGAGTCAGGGTTTATTGTGTGCATTTTTATTTTTAACATCTAACGTTTCGCTTGTCTTGCTATGATGCTCATATTCCTCTCATAGTTCCCCGTTTTTTTTGGGGGGGGGTTGTGTAGCTGCTTTGCTTTGGAGTTTATGATGTTGTTAATTCTACAGATCTCATCTGTTCTCTGGTCTGGAGTTACATTTGTCGTTTTGCAGCTTTGAATGTTACCTCAAAGAATTTTAAAATTCATATTTGTAAAAGCTGAAACGAATAAATAAATATATTAAACACCTGAACATAATGTACGTTAAAATCAAGGGCAACATTTCGGCTAGCTTCAATTAAATTAATAAACTCATTTGGATTCTGTGGAGCTAAGTGTTGTAGAATATGTGTTCCTATTTATATAGGGCTGTTAACTTTGGAACCAAGTTACAAAGGAGCCAAGGGCCTGTTTGTTACGGATCACAATCAGTGATCCGTTGTTGGTTCACTGACACTAAAACCACCAGTGGATGGAGCGAACCAGCGTTGCGAAAACTGATCGAGATCCAGATTCAAACACCAGGCCCTAAATACATGTACATGTGCAATATATGCCTAGCCTAAACGACATGCTACTGCCCGTTTTACAGTCATGCTGAACTGACATAAATGTAGATTGATTTTTTTTTAAGTTCGGCATGGCAGACGCACAGTGTTTGCACAATTTGGCTCAGCAGACTGTATTCAGCATGGTAAGCCCTTTAGCTTGAGAGGGTTTACTAATTATCATTGTCCAAAATGACAATGGCACAACATTGCTTAAGTTTGGTACTGAGTGAATCTGCCACACCTGACGCGCTATATTTACACTCATCTTAAACCAATTTGGCCTGGCAATATCACGGTAAAGAGCCTAGGCCATAGCTATCACCCTTGTAATGTGCTTTATGCAGTACATGTACAGGCTGCAAACATACATGCACTGTATTACATGGTATACATTTTGACCAGGGTTCTCCCCAGCATTTTCCAAAATGTGTGGGGCATTTGTGTTGGTTCACTGACAATTGCAAAGCCATGGCGTGGGGTTCGAGGCCTGCTTAAGATCCCTGGAAAATTTTGAATTCTACATGCTCTCTGGTGCATTCTAGAGTATTTCTTAAGCTTTTCAGTTGCTTTTTTAACTGGCAAAATGAAACTGATTCAATGGACTTTTTGCAAAATTTTATTGAATGACCACTGCTTTTTCTTATGCATAATTCACTTCTTTTCAAACATTAACACATTAATATGAACACATTAACGCATTGGCAAAATAAATGATTCTGCTTCTTTTATGTAAAGTGGACACATGTCCATGTAATAAAGTTATTTTGACATGGAGTAAATTCTTTGATCAAGTAACCATTTGAGCCCAGTTGAAACAAATGACGCTGACAAAAAATTTTGCTTTGTCTTGTAAATATAAAGTAAGACAAAACAATGACATAAAAAATAATACATATAAATAAATGTTTATGTGGGATACATGTAAACTAAAATAAGAGTTAAGCAGGCAAAAAGACTGTTATACTTGACTTGTTCATAAGAATTCACACTTGTGGAAAACTTTTGTTGAACTTCAGTAAAATGAAACACAGTTTGACTTGAGATAATTCTACATGTTACTGAACTTCAAAGAAAATAAATACTAAACAATCAGAGTATTTGCTCATGTAAACAAAGAAAGGACTTATTTATTGCAAATAATTAATGGTGGCTGTTTGAATTACTTTTGGCCGTTCCTCCCCGTCAACACGATTGGCTTAAAAAAAGAACCAATCTTTGACCGTACTTTTTCTGTAATGACTGCGTGCTCTGACCTGATGCGGCTCACGGTGAACGTTGCACATACACAGGTTCCGCAATGGCCCCATCAACGAGTATCTTAAAGTGAATAGGAAATGGGAACTAGTGTTGAAGTGAAAACTGAAGTGTCGCGCGACTCCTCTTGGTAACATGATGTCACATGAGTATTTGTTCCTGTCGCAGGTGTATTCATCATATACTGCCACGTTGATAAAGGAATGGGGTTGATGCTGCAAGTGCTGTGAATGGTTTAGTGTAGCATTGTGCTCCCAACACAAGAAGCCTCAGATAGCGCTTTGAGGTGTCTTTAGATTTACATGCAGTAGGCGGCGTGCACAAATGGACTACAAAAGGAACAGATTACGAAGGTAAAGACTTCATAGGTCTTTGGCTTGAGTGCATTGTACATGGCCTTTGAATGCTGTGACACAGGTGTGTATAGATGTATGCGACACGAATTTTATATAGTCCTACTGCTGTACTTTGTCCAGCTGCATCAAGCTTGAGACGGACCCTTCACCATGAAATCTTTAGCATCGTATTGTAGTGAATTTCTTCATTTAGTTTCTTTGGTCCAAGAATGCGGCCAGATGGTTGTAAGTAAAAAGCCAGACTGCAGCGGTGAGACATAGCCTATTCTCTGTAACCGTTGGAGCGTAGCAAATGCAAAAAGGCCTAGCATGGACAACACACACTGTCTTCTCACAACTTGGCAATGAGGTCCAAACGTTGGAGTTTCATCCTGGGGGGTTGGGGTGGGGTTTGGAAACTGGCTCGGTGGCGTTTGCCCCTCACAGCTGACGGGTCCACGTAGCCGAGAAGCTATCATGGCTACCCAGTCTACAGTTTGACGGTAATATTTAATTTTTAAGCCCAGCAAGTAATGGGCAGTACTTGTTTAATTTTGATTAGGCCTTGGCGGCAGCAGGCTAGTCTTTATTTCAACTCGGCAGTTGCGAGTTATTTTGGTCCAAAGGTTCAATAAAAAAATAGCTTTCACTATAGTATCTTCATATGATGCCAATTTTCATCTCTTTGTAGCTACATATAAGGTTTAAACTCGATTGGACATTTAATTCAGGACATGTAGTGCTTCAAGAGGTGAACCTTTAATGTTGTGTGACTTGTCAGCTTATGACATCATCATAACATCTGGTAACATCATAACAAAATCGCCTGGTGGAAAGTTGAAGTACAAGCCGTAATACCACATCTTGGCCTTTGTGAGCTTATCCATGGCTTCCATCCATACATGGTCCATAGGAAGCTCAGGAAAGAGAGGATGAGAGGATAAAGATGACCCCGGTGTGCGACACTTGAACGAGGGGCAACTGTGGTCTTCCGCAGGAGGAGCAGGAGATGCAAGTCATAAGACCTGAATCATTTCCCAATGGGGCAGACGAAGGCGGGACTCCAAAGGACACAGATAATTTACCGAAACAGGCTCAGGGTCAGGACCAGCAGAGAGATCAAGGGAACGTGCCTCAACAGATGCTGACTGAGAAGACAAAAGAGACAAAAGAAGATCCCGTTGCCCTTTATGAGACACAGAACGGGCTGGGGGCAGGGAATAAGGATCCGGATCCGGATGTGTTGTGTATGGAGGATGAGTATAATGCTGAATAACCATCAGAGCTCGCAGTGTATCTTTGGTAGACAGAGATCCCGACGATTTCTTGACTTTTTTCTTCTTGGAAGGGTGGACGAAAGACATAGAGTGGCTAGGAGATTTGCACTTCCACCCTGTTTTTGTTAATTGAGAAGAATCCTGCACAGAAGACGGGGCTGTGGGTTTATCCTCCCGCTGTGCCGAAGCCGGAGAAAAACCAGCGGATACCACACCCTGTGGAAAGGGATCAGCAATAGGGGGAAACTGAAATTCACGACATCGTAATAAGCTGGCAGGCTTGGTGTCCCCAGGTGAAGAGCGGGCCGGAGAGGCTAGAGCAGGCCCAGACACTGAAACTTGGTTTGTATCTATGGGAACGGGCCGTAGCAGTCGTCTTGTTAGACACAGTGGTTGGGGAAAAGCCATTGTCCAAAACCAACCAACCGCAAAGGACAAAGAACAATATGCAAGAAAGGTGGGTCACGCCCGTCAGACTTGACGTAGAGGAATTGAAAATTCACTGCTAAAGTGGTTAAGATTAGGCAGCAACCACGTGCAAGTAATGTGCTGCACAAGGGAAAGAGTCCACAAATAACTGGCCAAACAGCATTCTCTCACGCAGCAAACTACCACAGTAATGCGCCAAGATCAGCCCCTTGTCATTGGTATAAGGGACGGTGTAAGGGATTGTGTAAGGGATGGTGAAAGGGACACGTTCCCACGGTACAGACGAGTGAATGGGCCGGACACGTTGCTTGATACTCGAAGCCGACTGTAGAGTGAGACGTGCCCACCAGAAAACCCCTGCAGGCGACAGCAAACCAACACCGGGAAGCCAAGCCAACAGCAGGGTGCCAAGTCATGCCCCGAGCTGTCTGCATAAAGGGGGTGCACTCATATGTGCTCCAAACATAGGGGAGCTGAGGCAGGCCAGACACATTGCTCAATGCTTGAAGAGGCCCATAGGGTGAGACCAGCTGACCGTAGAAATCCCTGAGCTACGGCAAAACCGAGGTCTGTTACGCCATACTGAGCTTTGAGCTGCCTGAGCGCTCCCGCAAATGGCAAACCCCTAACGGGTCAAAAGGAGGGAATAGTTAACCATGCACTGTCCTATTCCCTAAATTAGCAAAGACTGAAACCAACACCACTGTCCCTGCTAATTAAGCAATCCCTGGCCTGCAGGCAGGCAAATACTCGAAGTGGGGTGAACGCTACTCTAACTTCTCTTCAGATACTTGATTATCTAATATAGAGAAAACGTAAAGAATTGAAAAAAAAAAAAAAAACGCTGAAATATTCAGGTAGCCAGAAGGCAAATATTCAGAATGTCAAGAAAAAAGAACCACCAAAATTCCGGAGATAAGAAAATCAATAATAAGTATCCAAACATGGAGGACAAGAAATGCCGAAATATCTGGCGATATGAAAAAAAAATCAAATCAGAGAATAATGAGACAACTGCTCTCGATAATAATAATATTAATAAACAAGGATGCCACAATTTAGGGCGAATCACAGAGTATATACAGGAAAAGTGAATAAATTAACACTCACTTTATTCTGGCACAACAAAAATATATTTACCCGGTATATCAAGACAACAGCGCCACCTCGGCCAAAAAGGTAAATACATGTATACGGTCAGCCTGCCACCTGTGCAAGACTGAAAAGGGCATGGAAGTAATGGAACAGGAAATACTACAGATGTATTAGTAGTTTGCGTAGGTTGCAGGTAGTAGACTTCACGAGATATAGGACTGAAAAGGTGCATCTTAAATGTCATGTGACATCATCAACACATCAGGTCAATGTTCTTGTGAAGCTATCCCCATTCAAGATATCTCAAAGGGTTGAACCCAATTAAACATGCACTTCACAAGATATAATGTTTAAAAGAGTGCGTCTTTCATGTCACGTGACTTGCCTCCTGATTATGTCATTATGAAATCAGGTGATTGTTTATCTGATGCCCTTCCCTTTCTAAATATCTACCAAGTTTCAACCCAATCGGTCATGCACTTCAGGAGATAAAGAACTTTAAGGGATGCACGTTTAATGTCACGTGACTCCTCATATGACATTATCATCATATGAGTTCAATCTCAGTTTTTAACCTTCCCTTCCTAACTATCTGCAATGTTTCAATCCAATCAGACATTTACAATACAACTGACATTATTGTTGTCACGAAAAAAGCACAGATCATTTTAAACATTTGTCCCTTTTGGTATTCCATACAATGGGATCTGCTCTCAGCATCACGTGCTTGGCAATTTGCCAGCTCCTGAGTATATGTCTTATGCACTGTGCACTGCCTATGATACAGCCAGATATTAGGGGCCACGCACACAGTAGCCAATGTACAGTATGCAAATGGATTCCAGTACGCAAATATTGTGAGGGGTTTTTGTCGTCAGGGCTTCATCTGTGTGAACAAGTACACCAGTTATGCACTTCATGCAGTTGAGTCAGTACACGTACATTATTGACGGTCCATAGCCACTGAGCTGTGTAGACCTTTTGTACTTCGAATTCACGAAGCTATGCAACGAGTCCCAATAAAATTGGGACCTATGGATTAGGATATTTTTGTGAACAAATATTTTACGAAAAACAATTTATTTTCCTAATTCCAAAGCTCAGGAAAGGATTTTTTCATGACTGGAAAAAAGTAGCTGGCGCAAAAGTTCAAGCAGCTGGTCAAACTTGCTGGTTGCTGGCTTATTTTGAAACCCCTGCCCTAGTCTTATACAATGTTAAAATGACGCTGACTAGCTACTCAGGATGAATATACATACACATACACTCAAATATATGTACACATTACAGTGGTTTATGACCGAGACATTCGGTCTGATTTTTGTTTTTCAATTTTCAACAAAAACCTCTTCATTAGAGTCTGAAAATCAAGTTTTAAGTGTAAAAAACTTTTATTTTAAAATTTTTTTTTGTTCTGTTTCTAGCTAACATGAGTAGAAATAAAAGATTGACATTTCGTTTCAATGTAAAATATCTGCTGAGGCAACTAAAACTTCGTTTAAATATAAAATATTGTTTTTTTTATGTTGCCTAGATGTACCCCTTCCAATGGTGTAGAGTGTGATGTGGGTCGATTCTTAGATGATATGGTAACATAACATTCAAAAAAGTCAACTAAAATAGCACGAAATACATCTGCTGAAAAATATTTACGATAAGACATTTTGAAGAGTACCTTCTTGTACCCATGGTAGAGTGCCATAAATTTGTAACATATCAAATGAGTAAATATCCCTTGTCATGGTAAAATCTCTGTAAATTCGCGGAAATGCCCCTTACACATGTTACAGACAAAATTTCGATTGATGTTTTCACTAGAAATATTGCCGATCACACGCGAACAAGTGCCCTCTGTTGACATGAAAAGTCCATGCAATTCAGCAACACGTGCTCGTACATATTTCTCTCCGATCCCTCATGGTTTGCACAATGTCATCGCAATGAATATTGAAGTGCCAAAGCAAGACTTTACATTTTCGACGAAGTGAAATCTCTTTAGTTGTGCTTTATTCACCAATCTGCGATGAAATAAGAATATCTTGCCTCTGGTTGCATGGAATGTGAGATGTATTGTAGAGGAAAAGTCTTGCCCACAAATTACAAACGAACAAAGTTTTATTTTTTCTGTAAAATTGACCAGGATGGAGCACAGTATGCGAGCAGAGAGAAAAGGGTAAACACTGTTTTAGCCAGCCAGACGTGTTTTCTCAGAGGAAGCCAGAAACACAGGTACTTTCATCTTGGCCTGATTTTTGTCAGGTCAAAAAACCGCCAAAACAAACAGACAGTACTTGAGCCGTCAATGTGATGTAGAGCAGACATTGATGGCTTTATCGTAACTCATTTCCAAGCAACTAAAAGCACTGAGGGAGAAATGTATGAAATTGAACAAATCACTGTCCCCTTAGCATTCAAGAAATGTTCTCTGATGAATAATTTTTAATTTGTGAGAAAGCGCCATCTCCAAAACCAATGACGCATCATCAATTATGGTTGCAGAAGCTTGTCCAAAACGGCTGAAGCTGATGTTCATACTCACCCGAGAGTTAATCCCCTAGATGAAGTGGGACCTCGCAAAACAGACACGATATTAGATGAGTTGGGAGTAGAAGCCGTGGAAAATGGAGTATTCCAAACTCAGTTACTTTATTTTATATAACATAAGAGAAAAACTGTTGATGTTGGCATGAGGCTATTTACAGATGATTTCCGCAACGGAAATAAGTTAATGTAACTTTTTTGGTGTTATCCCTCCTATTTTCACTTTTGTGAATCTTTGAGTTGGCTTTTCTTTGATTTGTTTTTTGTAATATCATTTTGTGAAATAGTGAATAAATAAAATCAAATCAAGCTGTTTAATCACTTCCTTCGATAAGGCAAAATGAACTCCAACAGGTATTCCATTAATTTCATGAAGACATAATTGGCAAACTGTAAACTCAACTATTTATTTCAGAATCTGACTGGCTTTTAAATTGGGGTAAGAAACCAACATACATAAAATAAAAAAGCACCCATAAAAATGCTTGAACAAATCACTGAAACCTTCGTTTATTTAACCCCAAAATCAACAACAAAGATTGTTTTGATACCGCAGCGGTACAGCAGAACAAACAGTGCAAACGTTTATGCAAACACAGCCAAAGAGTGCGCTGTACATAAGTAGCGCCCTCTTTCAGATTTTGCTCCCATTTTTGACCATTTCAGTGAATTCTCCGGTTAAAATGTGTTCAACCTAGTTTTCTGTATTTGGAGATGATGTTCAAACATGTTTGATATAGTTTTTAGGAATTTGGACCTCTCATTGTCCTGATATCTACTGATGTCTGGGTCAAATATGGTTTTAAACCACTGTGCACGTATTTCAAAAGCCACACACTTGTGACCACCCATGCATGTAACGCACGTGTAAATCTGTGTCGCGTGTAAACATATTGACTACAATCCTACCTTAAATCTCCCAAAATAATGGGGTATTTCATACCAGGGGTTAAGACCCTGTGACGTATGTTGAGAACTAACATAGTGTAGCAAGATCATACCCATAGGAATCAGATTGGTGATCAGGAGTATGCAACTGTTGAAGCAGGTACATGAACATACATCTGAAGCTTAATAACTGGCCATTATGACCACTCCTGGACCAAAGCAGTGGTGTTTGACATTACCATATTTATTTCTGAGACCAAGACTTACAGATGGGTCTGTCTGGAGCAAACTGTGCTTTGACTGTAGCTGAGGACATGAAGGAGTGGTCATCAGCAATTCCAAACAGAACTAATTCCTTCTGGACATCAGAGTACTCAAACCTGTCAACAAAAAATGCAGAAACATATTTAGTCTGAGTATTGTGTGCTCAATGAAGCCCCATACACAAGTGCATGGCAATATTCTACAAAACCACACGCCATCCTGTTAGATCAACTAATAGGAAATCAGAACAAATGTTGACTATTAATAAGTCTTTTGCATCACTAAATAAGAATTTACCAAATTTGCATTGGGATGAAGGTTACCGAGTCCCAAGGACAAATCCAAATTGCCGTTCAACAACGTTTCATTATCTGAATGCAACTTTTTATTTCAGCATGTTAATGAGCCAACCAAAACATCCGACACATCTAGCAATATTTTTAATCTGTTATATTCCACCAAACCTTCTAGTGTCTTTTATGTTGACATTACTTCTGGCATAAGTGATCACAAAGCCATTCTTTTCAAATGTAAGTGTTAATTAAGACAGCTCCCCAGGAAAAGAGAAAGGTTTATTTTTATTAAAAAAATGATTTTTAGTAAAGTAGTGGTCCAGCCTCCAGCTGATCACTTGGGGGTGGTGGTTCGTCTGCCACTGAAGGGGGAATTGGAGGCCGACCCCAGAAAAAAAGTGACTAGGACAGGGGTCGAAATTAACTTGGTTTTCTATGGTAGCCCACAGGACTTAATAATGTCATTGTTTTACCAGTCCTTTGAGTTTTTCAGTAGTCCTACAAAAATGCTAATAGGCCTTGGTGTAAGTACAGTAAAACAACACAGGATTCTTTTTATTTACATGTATATAAGTATGGTTTAATATGCCTTATATTTGCTATTCCACATTTTATGTTACTCTCCAGCAGGCCCCAGGAGACGAACACTGCTACTTTCCACGATTCTAGTCCCCAGACTAGCAACGGTCACTTTTTCAGTTTTTGCAAGCCAATATAGGATTTTCACATTAAAAGTAACCCGAAACAGCATACATTCACAATTTTTTGTCATACTTGCGTTAGCAGAGGAAGGATTAGAAATCACTAAAACTAAAATAATTAAGTTTTGGATATTTGGCACTCAAATCGTTTCGTAAACTGCTCAAATCCGAAAAGACGGTATCGATCCATGTGCGCTCGGAAAATTGTATTGTTTCTAACGCACAATGCGATTGGCCGAATCGTTTCATTCTTTTCAGTAACAGCCAGTAGAAATCAATCTTACGTGCTGGAAAGACTATTGTTATTGCTTCTAACACGCAGGCTGATTGGACAAAATGCTGGATTATTTTCACGATAGCCCAATTGAAAACGTTTTTTCTCGTTGCACAATATATCATTGAAGTGTATGGGGTACCGTGAAATCCACACGTACACTTGTATGATGCGTACAATTTCATGTGGCTGGCCTACCTGTGTAGAGTATCAGCTCGACATGAATACATGTATGCATGGGCCGTGTTGTGTATGGAAAGAACCCGTTGTGTCTACAGTGTAACGGTAGGCTGTACAAATGTACATGTACATGTATCTGCAATCAAAATACCACTGCACGGCATGGTGTTACATTTACGGTGTGTATTTCTTTTCATGCTCCCACTAAAAAAGGCACTAGCCCGCCGGACTACCGACAAATAGGAACTACTAGTCCTCCCACTAAAACCACTAGCCTCGAGTTAGCGGACTACTGCTAATTTCGACCCCTGCTGGGATGAAAGTGGGATCCCACTCAGATCCCAGTGGTATACGTCTATCCCACTGGGATTGCAGTGGGATGAAAAGTGGGATGGAAGTGGGATCCCATTTCCAGTTGGGATTGTAGTGGGATTCCAGTTGAGGAGGGATCACAGTTGTAAGCAAAAAGTGAGATCCCAGTTGAAAGTAAAAAAGTGAGATCCCAATTCAAAGTAGGATCCCACTTCAAGGCAAATACATTTATATAGAGAGATTCCAGTTGAGGTGAGATCCCACTTGCAAGTAAAAAAGTGGGATTCAAGTTGAGATGAAATCCCGTGGGGGGCTGGAATCCCACTTGATTTGTCATCCACTGTTTACATTGACTCAAGCACTTGCTGTATTAATTAAAGAATGAAGCTTACTGAGAGTCACCTCAAAGAAACTTGAGGATTAAGGTGAATAAAATTAACAACTTGCCGCAGGAGGCTCCAGTACCGGAGACATAGGCCTTATATTCATGGCCAGGGTTTCCGAAATTGGCACTTCATTTAAAAAAAAAATGAGTTGCTGGGCATTTTTTAAAAAGTTTATTGCTGTCAGTGAAAACATTTAGGCCATCATCGGAGGTAAATAAATTGCTCATAGGCAATAATGGGTTCCTGGGGCCGGAGAATTGGGTCTTTATTTTATAGCTGGGTGACAAACTCATAAAATCCTGTAATACATTGAGAGCTGCTGCGAGCTGCCGGACACTGCCAATCAATCCCTGTATTCTTTCAGTGCAGAGCGCTGGCTATTAGTGGAGATAATATGTGTATTGTTTGTGTAGAGCACTAGTTTTTGCACTGCCAGGCACTCGCAGCAGATTATCACTACACTGCACTGAAGACAAAGCACGGGCTGTGCGAGCTCTTTATGCACTTGTGCCCCACGAATGACCCGGCCCGTGCACTGCTGGCCCTTGCCACGTTGACTGACAGGGCTTGGCCCCCACTGCTTGAGAATAAAATCGCCGCGGCTATATTGTCATCAGAGCACAGACAACATGGCTGAAGTTATATCCGGAGAGTCCAGTTCTTCCACTACGACATTAACGCACATGCGATCATGGACTGATCTGAAAATTGAGAACTGAAGACCCTTCTGGGCCTTTGCATAATGACGGGCATTGCGAAGCACCACACCCTTCATAGCTTCTGGTCCACCGACCCACTACTGAAGATGAGCCTATTCCCGTCTGTCATGCCCCGAGATCGTTTCCTTGCCATCCGACAGTCCCTGCACTTCAACGACAACACCGCCATGCCGGAGGACTGCGCTGACCGCCTCTTCAAAGTGCGCCCAGTCATTGACCATCTTGTTCAGAAGTTTGCCACGATCTACGTTCCTCAATGGGACATTTCTGTTGATGTTCTACGGGCGTCTCCACTTTGCTACCTACAACCCCAGAAAGAGGGCCCGCTTCAGCATCAAGATGTACAAGTGGTGCCAGAGCAACGGGAACGTCGCCAGGTACTACTACAACTTCAAAATCTACACTTGCCAAAGTAAGGGAGACCTTCCAGCAACTACACAAGTTGTGATGGACCTGGTGAGTGACCTGAATGGCAAGGGCTACAACCTTGCCCTCGTCTAGGCCTTCAGCAGTCCCAATTTGTTTAAACGACTTCACAACCAGAAAGAAGTTCAACGTCGTTGGCACTGTCATGGCCAACAGAAAAAGGATGCTGAAAGACCTGCAGTCCGTCATGCTGAAGCAGGGTAAAACAGAGTTCCAGTCGGCCGACCTGGGTGTCAGCAGTTCTCTCCTGGCCGTGGTGTGACGAGACAGTGCAACATCCGTATGCTCTCCACTATGCATACGGCAGAAATCCGTGGCTCCGGCAAGCAAGACAAGACGGGGAAGGAAAAGTAGAAACCAGCCTGCGTCATCGAGTACAATGCCCTGATAGGGGGGTTGACGAGAGCAACCAGCTAGCAGCAAATTATAAAGCTACTCGCAAGTCCCTGAAATGGTACAAG